AGTATGCCGATCTTTTAATAACAATTTTTACTACACCGCTATTGGTACATCATTTTTAAATTGTTTCAGAAAAATTTACAGCATTAACAAAAGAACCAAGAATTCCTAAGATGCTATTGAGGGAACTTAATGGTCGAGAGGTAAAATATAATCCCACTGTTTTCTTAGTTGCATTTATCCAAAACCTTGAATAAGCGCCTATGGTAGGAGGCGCTTATTCAGGGGAGGCGCATAATCAAGGGAAGCCCTTATTCAAGCAAATACAGTATGCCTGCATTCTATGGAGAGATGCTTACGTAGATAGGTCTTGTACAAAGGGTCCCATGACAGGGTGCTCACGGACTCTCAGCTGTAAATGCAAACAGATTTATTTATTTAGTTTTTGTCCAAGAAACAGAGGTTTATGGCCACACAGCAGGAGACTTCAAGCCAGGCTTCTCTCAGTTAGTCAGGTATGTTAGTAATAGAACAGGAGACTTCAAGCCAGGCTTCTCTCAGTTAGTCAGGTATGTTAGTAATAGAGCTAGGTAATCACTGAGTGTGGTCATGGTTTTTTAATGTTCAGTCATCATGTCAGGCATGAATACATTAAGTTTGACGTAGACGGCAAAATGTCTGGTTTACCGTCTGACTTAGACGCCAAAGCGTCTAGTTTACTGTCTGAAGATGGCAAAGTGTCTGGTTTACGAAATGTCTAATTTACTGTCTGCGACTTAAAGCGACAATAATGTCTTGTTATGTTATTGAATTTCACGGCAATAAAGTCTGCTTAATTGATAGCTAAAATGTCTGGTATATTGATAGCTGTAAGATAGCAGTAATGTCTGGTAAACTGTGATTGAAAAATAGCAAGAATGTCTGATTAACTGATTGACTAATTTATTCATGCTTGAGAAATTGTTCTTTTACATATTTGYATATTCTCCCCAATTTCTTATTAAGAAATTCAGTAGTGGTTAAGCCTTGTACTTTCAGTAGACCAATACTCCATCAACTGATTCGAACTGGTGTATGTAGTCAGAATGTCTAGGTATCCCCATCTTTGGGTATCAAGGGGTTAGATATCCAGTAATGGCAGGCTTGGAATACTTAGTTTGTGGATTCACATAAAATCATATAATAAAAATATGCATCTAACAGTATAAAATCATGTACCTGTTTCTTGGACTCTTTATCTTTACCCTTTGTGGATACCAAGAGGTCATGAATTTTTTCATTATAGATCTCAAAGTAGCTAATTTCAACAGTAAATTTGTCCTGAAAAACAATGAAAATAATACACAAAATGAAAATTTTATKTAGTTCTTATATGTATCAAAAACAAAACAAAGAAAAACAATATCTCACTATCTCTGTTTGCCATGAATATTCATTCATCACTATCAAAGTATTACCTAAATTATGATTTAAAAAAATATGGCCATAGAAGTAATCTATTAGCATCAGGCCTTTGTAGGGCTTATATAAGAGGCYGTGTTTWTAGGAAGTGACTTGTAAGATCTGTGTTTTTGCWGACTAACCTCTGGCCATATTTTGATTCTTTYAAAGAGTTCCTCACAGAATCTTGGAAGAACCCCAACATCTTTGCCTTGACCCATAATACTAAATAGTAAACATACAACAAAGGCATATTTTTAGACTCACAATGTATGCACAAATGGTTTCAGTGTAGGAGTAAGCAATACTGTTAAAATATTTATTAACTATACTCGAGGTAAGTGTTACTCAGTCCCTTTTTCATTTTTTTATAGTCCAAAATGTCACCATGACTGTTGCAGATAATTTATTATAATCGCTTTTAACAATGTAATTATTGTAGCTCTACCTGCAAAACAATATTAATTTCATAGTATAAAGAGGCAGTAGCAAATTTGCATTACCTGTAGGATTTTCCTGAGCCAGTCTACAAATACAGGGAGAGAATAAAATGATCAATCAATCAAATGCAATTACAAAGTGATGTTAAAACAAAGATAAGGGTGGCAAGGGTGGTCTAGTGGTTAAGCTACTGGCCTCTCACCGCTGTGGTCCGGGTTCGATTCCCGGGCACGGACCATATGTGAGTTTGAGTTTGTTTGATGTGTTGTTCTCTCCCTTGCCACGAGGGTTTTTCTCCGGGTCCTCTGGTTTTCCTCCCTCAGTAAAAATCAACACGTGAGGAGTGTTGTGTGCTAAAATACTTAATGTAGAGGTAGTGAGTGTGAGTGTGAGGGCCACAAGTTCATCAGTTCTTTACTGTCACGTGTTACCCTCGTAAAATAAAGTCGATTTTTAATAGCAAATTCCTGTCACTTTTGTCAACAGCYCCCCTTTTGAAAGTCGCTAGATCTGCCCCACTCAGTCCCATGCATTCTTCATTATTTTTTTTGCTGCTCTGTAATCATTTATCARAGAGAATACCCTTAATAATGAACTCAGCTACTATAATACTTTAAGTATGCTCTGTATTGTCCATTTCCCATTTCCCAAACAGCACCGACTAAGACAAGCCTGGACCTATTCACAACTGAGTGAGCAAAAACTATTACGAACTATTACCTACAATCCCTTTTTGAATTTTAGATAATATATAAAATATGAGCAGGAGACCTTTATGGGCATTTAAAACTGTGAGTTGCAAGCGAGCAGTTTTAAGGCCCATATAGGTCGGATTTGATATTGCTTATCAAATCCCAACATAAGCTAAAGCTGCATATTTTGCAAAAAACTTCGAGGTAAAATATTATTTTAAAGAGAAAAGTCMAAGTCTATGAAAAACAGGACAAATCTCTTGCTCATATAAAGATGCGGTCACGGCAATGATTTTCTATTGTGTTTACCTTATGAATTATTAATGAATTTGATAAAATAATCTAAA